AACACACACACATGGGGGTGTGTTTGTGTACATCTGTGTATGCATGTTATTAACTAGGACGAATCATCCAAATACTGAATTCAGCCAGAATAGAGCTCATAGACAGCTGACCCAACTAATTTGAGATTGAGTCATCGTCGAATGATTGATTGATATGTTTAAACAATCAATAATACATGAACATGACCATGAAGAAAGGAAAAAGGTGCAGAGAAGTACCACAACAACATCAGCAGAGCCAGTGCAGGTAGCAGTGATAGTAAGATGCTTGCGGCTCAGCCTCTTATCAGTAACTGGAATGCAATCCCGGCCAACACAATTAGGACCTTCTGAAAGTGGAATCTTGGGTATGGAACTTTTCCCATCCTCTTCCAAATTATCACTTAGAGGCACCAAAAATCCAACCTTTATGAATCAAACACAAATCAAATCAGTGCAAGAACTAGAAAAAACACACAAAAAGAAAAAACTAAACTCATGCTACTAATATATATGGTACCAACTAAGTTGAGACATGTTTATTCTGCAGTATTGCATAAGTTTCTGATTAAGAAGATCACTAGTTATACACGACTTCAAAATTTGTTTGTTAAAAGTAAACTAAATTAGAACCTTCATCAAGTGGAATCTTCGGAATGGAATTATTCTCATCCCTTTCCAAATTATCACTTAGAGGCACCAAAAATCCAACCTTATTTACAACAACATACCGAATGTAGTTCCACACAGTGGGGTTTGGGGAGGATAGAATGTACGCAGACCTTACCTCTACCTCAAAAAGCCAACCTTATTTACAAAAACATACCCAATGCAGTCCCACACATTGGGTCCGGGGAGGATAGAGTGTACGCAGACCTCACTTCTACCTCAAAAATCCAACCTTATTTACAAAAACATACCCAATGCAGTCCCAGGGGTCTGGGGAGAATAGAGTGTACGCAGACCTCACCTCTACCTCAAAAATCCAACCTTATTTACAAAAACATACCCAATGCAGTCCCACACATTGGAGTCCAGGGAGGATAGAGTGTACACAGACCTCACTTCTACCTCAAAAATCCAACCTTATTTACAAAAACATACCCAATGCAATCCCAAGGATCTGGGGAGAATAGAGTGTACGCAGACCTCACCTCTACCTCAAAAATCCAACCTTATTTACAAAAACATACCCAATGTAGTCCCACACAGTGGGCTTTGGGGAGGGTAGAGTGTACGCAGACCTTACCTCTACCTCAAAAATCCAACCTTCTTTAATCAAACAAAAACTAAAATCAAAACAAGAACTCGAAAAAACACAAAATACTAAAATAAACTAAACTCATGCTTCTGATATATATGATACCAATTTAGAGAATCTCTAGTTTAAGCCAACTTCAAATTTGTTTATTAGACTAAATTATGAAAACGGGTCAGAAACAAATTTGAGAATGGATTGATTAACTAATCAAAATGCTACTAATAGAGAGATGAAATCTTGGGTATGGAACTATTCTCATCGTCTTCAAAGTTATCACTCAATAGCACCAAAAATTCAACCTTTATTTAATCAAACACAATAAAATCAATGCAAAATCAAAATTGATTGAAAATGGAATATTGGGTATGGAACTTTTCACATCCTCTTCATTATTATCACTTAGATACACCAAAAAAATCCAATCTTTCTGCATCAAACACAAACTAAAATCAATGCAAGAACTAGGAAAAAAAAAACACCAAGAAAAAAATAAAAAAAATAGGCAAAATTATAGTAATAAAGAAAGTAGCTGAACCTGAGAAGAGGTGAACATTGAATTGGTATTTTGAAATGGGGTTTGAGTTTTGCCAGCTTCCCTTTATGGAGTTTGCAGAACAGGGCAAGCATGCAATGGTTTTTTTTACGCATAGTGTTGTTTATTCTTATTAATAATAATACTGAAATATCTAACATCAATCCGTTATCGTCCAGCGGTTAGGATATCTGGCTTTCACCCAGGAGACCCGGGTTCGATTCCCGGTAACGGAATTTTTTTCTCTTGTTTTTTTTTTGGATCGTAGATATTGTTATTAGGAGTATTAATTTAGGGGTCGTTTCGTAGCTGGTTAGAGTAATGTAAGAATTAGTTATGAAACTTTTTTCTCTTTTCTTTTTTTGGGATCGTAGATATTGATATTAGGAGTATTAACTTAGGGGTTGTTTCGTAGTTGGTTAGAGTAATGTAAGGATTAGTTATGAGGAAAATCTACATATATATTATGGAGGGATTAGTTATTCATGTATTAGTTAGCTTATGCATAATTTGGTATCTAATTATGAGGTAAATTATTCATCTATAAAATTAATATTGTGTTTGATTTGCTATTTAGAGAAAAAAAAAACTAGTATGTGAATAGGTTTATGAGGAAATCTATGTAGAAGGTGGAATAACTAATACAAGAATAACTGATCTCTGCATAATATACGGACTTTGGTAATCTTATACTGACTTTGGGGTTAATTATTTAGGTATGAGAGATGGGATAGACAACGTTAACTCATGAATTGAGATATTTCATGAAATTAGTTATCTCACCATATATATAGAATAACTTATCTCATCATTATAATAAAAATTCCGAGACTAATTAATATTCTTAACCAAATCCAAGATAAGATAATTATACATTTTATTTTTGAATTATTGTCTTTTATTCTTCGTACCAAATGACCCGTGAAGGTAAGGTTTTTAAAGTTCAAAATCCAATTATCAAATTTACAACGATATACTATAATATATTCTATTTTTCGTTTCCATTTTAAAAACAATTTAAAACTTCTGGCACATAAGCTAATATCATGTAGTAAGAAATACTCCCTAAAATTGTTATACAAATATGAGATGATAAAATATTAAACTTTAAAGGTATTTCTGGGGTGTGATACATTTTTATACTATTTATATGTCAAAATATTGCCTTTTTTATGTTAAACTTTGAATCTAATTAAAGACGTTATAAAATACGAAAAGCATTCCTATGAATTCTTTAAGCCGGTTTTGCAACACTTAAAAAAAACTAAATGATTTATCGGATCGATATTTTAGAGTTTTTATATCAAATCGATTTTTTTTTAATTTCGGCCCAATTAAAAACTTGGGAGAAATGAAATTAAATACTAATAAAGTAATGACAATGAGAATATTGAAGTCAACAAACCAATATGGAGTTTATCATTCTTTAACCAAAAATTAAGGGTATTACATGTGTGGTTTAACAACTCAAACTACAAATTGAATCATTGAACATATAAAGAAAGATGAAAGGATACGTAAATAATAAATACTTCCTTCATTTTCATTTGTTTATTTATTGGCGAATCTTCAATTTCAATTTTTCACGTGATAGTAAAATTAAATGACATATTTAAAACTATAAAATTCATAAGTCTTTTTTACTTTTTTTAGACTCGATGTCAAATTAAAATAAGATAAGTAAATTAAAACGGAGGAAGTAATAAATATTACACCCTCCATTTTAATTTATATGACCGATTTTCTTTAATAATCCATTTAAAAAGAATATATTTTTTCCTTTTTAGTAACTTTTCAATTTTTATTTTTCACCTGATATATTTAAAAACATATCATTAAAAAAAATTTTAATACATTGAATGTGTATAAATAATTGATCTTTAAAAAAAGGGAAAGGTATCCTAAAGGCAAAGGCAAATGCCACATGGAAAATCTTAAACCGTGAGCCTAATTGCGTCGATGGCGTTTGACTTATTTTAAGGCTGGCGACTAATCTTATTACTCTTCGTCTAGTTTTAATTGTCATGATACGTTGTCAATTTAATTAATTTTTAAAATTAAATTAAATTATATTAATTTGATTTTTATACAAAAAAGTTTATATATTCAAAAACTATACAGAAAAGTACTATAAATTGCAATTTTTTTGCATATCAATATGATGAAAAATACATCATGCTAGTCAAAATTCTTATTGTTTGACTTTATAAAAATCATGACGATTAAAAGTGGACGGATAGAGTAAAACCTTATACAAACACGCAATTTTCTTAAATGTTTATTCAAAATAAATAATTTAAAAAATAGAAATTCTAGTCAAAGACTCAAAACCTTAATCAGAAAATAAAATAATAATTAATCTTTGTTCCTTTAGTTCTAATTTCAAGCCAAATAAAGTAATCTTGGGAGTTATATGAACCGTTTGGAAAGATAATTTATCTTTTTTTTTATAAAAAAATGGTTATAAATTATATTAATGTTTTGATTAGTTTTTGAAGATGAGTTTCTCAAGTGAAAACACGCTTATAATCATAAAATTTATTTATTTTAAATAAAGTGTATGTTCAAATATAACATTGACTTTTAAATATCATCTTTCAACTTTTTTTTTCAAACACTTGCAATAATAATTAATCTTTGGGGTTACAGTAGGCGAAGGTAGGTTTTAAATATAACTTTTGACTCAAATTATGTATTTATGTTAGTTTTTTTTACTGAATATATATTAGATAATTTATCCAAAATTTAATAAACATTATGAACTAAATATTTTGGCTCCACCACCCCATCTATATTAATTTGTTCCTTTAATTTTCAAACCAAATAAAGAGTACTTAAAAATCTTGTTGGGAATGTTGTCTTAAAAATAGTCCCTACAACACAAATTCGAATATGATTGAATTTTAATAAGAATATTGAATATCGAGTAAGAAAAAATACAACAAGAAAGATCACACCAATTATTCTCCTTTTGTTGCTCTTTTCTTCATTCCAATCTGTCTTTTTGTTTGTTTTCTAATTCAAAGCATCAATTATAAATTTATAATAGAAGAAAAATAGTGACATATATACCTACTAGTCCTCTATTATCTTTCTTCTTCAAAGACACCACATTTCATTGACTTCCCATTTTTTCTTACCAAAATACTTCATTTTTCTTCCTTCTATCTTTTTTATTTTTCTTCAATTTATGCTAATTAAATTGAATCACAAAAAAGAGTTGATAGTTGTAATGACCATGGAAGATTAATTTCATTTTTGATTCTTGGTATGTATATATTAAGTAATTCTCTTTTCTAAACCTTTTAGTATTTCCTGTTAATCCTTCATATAGACATGTTTATATACATTATATTCAAAATTATGATTGTTCATATGTGTATTGTGTGTTAGAAAATCTTTGATTTTTAAAATAATTGTTTGTTGTTTCCTTGATTCGATTGCTGTATTATTTGTGATGTTATTATCCTTTATTCTATAACTTGTTTAATGTTGTCTTTTATGCTGATTTTGATATTGCTAACAATGTTTTACCTTCATAAGACAAGTAAAGGATTGTATACACACCGCCCTCTCATGTCCTATTTGTAAGATTACACTGAGTATATTTGTTGTTCTTGTTGATTATGTGTTCAGAAAAAATTGAATTCTATTGAACGCATCAAGAAATCCAAATATACTTGTTCCGTTTGTTTATTTTGTCATATTGGATTTTGAAAATTTATATAGACACATATGTTTTATGGTATTATAATTCAACATTTTCATCTATAAATGGCTTCATAGATGAAATTTTGGATTTTAAATTTGCAGGAAAAATCAAAGTAATTAAAGATATAGAAAATGGACGGTGGTGATCGAGTTATAAGACGACGAAAGAGTCTAACTGAACGGCTAGGATTAAAAAGAATTGGATGTTGCGGGTCCACTTGGGGTATTATGCCAGCAACAACGTTTAATGTCGTTGACGATGAAGACGAAAACGACGACGTAGAAGTGATGAGTCATCATATCCACACACCGCTAGAAACACCGTCAGTTATGACAACGTGTCTGGCGGTGGCCGGAGGAGAAAGTTCCGGGATGAACTTAGCGGCCGCATTGGCCGCCGAACGCCACTTCAGAGCGGATTATGACAATAATAATGAAGTCAACATCCATCCGGGCTCAAGGCCCGGCCCACTGAGACCCTATGAAAGTGGCCCGAGGAATGTACCAACTTATGACAACAATGAAGTCAACATTAGGCCCGGCCCGAACTCGGATTCGGGATTTAATAGGCCCGATGAAGGTGTCTCGGGAAATGTTCCCGGGACGCCAACAAGAATGTCGTTGATGAGGTTGTTAGAGGAAACAGAAGTGTATGAAGGAGAATTATTGATGGAGAAAGAAGAAGAGGGGGATGGTGAGGTGGGGGTGGGGAGTGATAGTGTGTGTTGTGTGTGTATGAGAAGAAAAAAAGGAGCAGCATTTATACCATGTGGTCACACATTTTGCAGGGTGTGTTCAAGAGAGCTTTGGGTAAATCGAGGTTATTGTCCACTTTGTAATAGATCCATTCTTGAAATTCTCGACATTTACTAGGAAAAAAAAAAGAATCCAATGTTTTGGTTATGGTGATTTGTCATATATATGTATACTTGTACAATGTAAATAATTATTTTCATGAATGTTGGGAAATGGAATTACTAATGAAAAATCGTTGATAAAGGTAGTAGTAAATTGATAAGTACTTTTTTTTAATTCTTAATTAGACAATTTAGGTTTGAGCCCTATGTATGATATAGCGTTACTCGGTATGAGATTATACGATGAGAATTTGAATTTAGTCGAGTTTCAATACGATAGAAAACAAAAAGAAAAAAAAGATTAGGGTGGAGCGGGAGGAAAATTTGATTTGAAGAATGTGAAATGTAGTGAAAAGTTAGAAGTTTCTAGTCATTATCGCGGAGGCATAATATCTTTTTTCTTTTCTTTTCATTTTGGGTTGTACTTTTTTTAGAGAAAAACAAAGAAAGAAAGAAGAAGAAAAAAATTATAACGTAGAAAGTTATTTTCTGGTGCAAGAGTCCAAAGTAACAGAACAATAATAGAAATGAATTTGATACACCATGAAATTTTAGTTTCATTTGTGTTTGATGTAAAATAAGAATGAAAAGAAAATGCATGGTCGATTCTAACTATAAATGAGATTCATCATACAAGAAACTTAGTTCTACATTGGCGTTGAGTCGACGGATCTAACCATCAAGGAATTCGTGAAATTTATATGAATTGTGTAGGAGAGAATTTACCAAAGCTAAGCAAATATGACTCTTTACCCAAAAATAGTGGGAGGTGTATGGGTTCATTCCTCTAAATAAAAAAATAGAAGGTAAGCCGATCTTGAAGCTCCGCTCTCTTTTGAATATCATGAAGGAGAAGGTGTTCTGATTCCGAAACCAAAACGGCACACATAATGGTGACAACCTTCGGCTCGTGAATGAGATATTGTAGTACGTTAATTCAAAGTGATGGGCTAATAAAACATCTTAATACTCAGATTCAGACGTCTTAATCTTAACGATTGAAAAATGTTGATAAAAGAAAATTATAAAAAAAAAACAGAAAATGCGTGGACGGCAGGATTCGAACCTGCGCGGGCAAAGCCCACATGATTTCTAGTCATGCCCGATAACCACTCCGGCACGTCCACTTGTGTGCTTTCTAGAGGTTAATTTTCCAACACAGTTTTAGCAGTTCAAAATTGGCTTTTACTTTTCTCCGTTTCCTCTGTATCCTCGTTAAAATTTACGATTATTAACTATTACATGACGCTTTGTTATTTTGATGCCATACAGTTATATATATAGTCTATATTAATTTCAATAAACACATATATTTCTTTTTCATATTGAATAATCTACTAGCTTGCAATTACTTGCATGTGGTGCTCCATAGCAGGGCAGAGCTATAGGAAAATCTACAGATTCGGTAGCTAAAATTTAATAGCTTCGTCTCAAATCTTATATTTGTGTTTGATACGAAGAAACTCTAACTATCTAACTGTACTAATCGGGATCGAGTTATGAAGCATTGTCCCAGCCTAGTATTGAACAACGGACAACTTTTGAAGTTCAAAAATGCATAGCCAATGCCATTGTCCTTCACTTTACCGACACTCCAAACACTATAGTAGACGTAGCCATCCCGCGTAGTAATGGAATGAATAAAATTTTATTACTCATGATTAGATGTTTTGAATTTGAATTTTACCTCTAGTTAGATGAAATAATTTTATCACTCTTAATTAGATGCTTCGTGTTTGTACATATGGAAAAAAAGATCCTATTACAAAACATTTACCTTTTAAACGAGTCTTAACCGACTTGATTTCATTCCAGTATCAATACAAATATCCAACATCGGGTTGAAAACAAAAAAAAGCTATAATTATATGTTTCAAATTCAAGTTCTGAATAAGAAAAAACTCTACACTACAACAGTGTTTTCTTCTTAAATGAATCTTACAAATTACGCAAATTCAAATTAATCGGGTCAGGGAGGAAAAAAAAAAAAACTACAGTAGTATCAATAGAGAAGTGATAAAATTTCCCAATTCCCAAGATTCTCAGTACTATCGAAAATGTTGCTACAATTATTACTAACACTCACACTGTGTAGTACATTCTCACTAGCTCACTCCCACTACAATTGGTCACCGTCTTCCTCCTCCACCGCCGCCGCCGCCGCCGCTCACCCATCGGAGTGGCGGCCGGGACGGGCCACCTACTATGCTCCTGCAGATCCGCGGGATGTAGTAGGTGGCGCGTGTGGATACGGTGATTTAGAGAGAAGTGGGTATGGTAAATCGACAGCTGGATTAAGCACTGTGCTATTCGAAAAGGGTCAGATTTGCGGAGCTTGCTTTGAAGTTCGATGTGTTGAGGAACTCCGATGGTGTATTCCGGGTACTTCAATTATTGTTACTGCAACGAATTTTTGTGCTCCGAATTATGGATTTGAACCTGATGGCGGTGGACATTGTAACCCTCCGAATGCTCATTTTGTTCTGCCGATTGAAGCTTTTGAGAAAATTGCGATTTGGAAAGCTTCGAATATGCCTGTTCAGTATCGAAGGTAGTATTGCTCGTATAGTTTCTTGTCCTTTAATTTCTGTTATTGGATGTTTCTTGTATTTCGATTATCTTATTATTTTGTTGTGGTTATTGTTCTGCTACTATCTGCTATTTTGCTATTTCTTAAGTTGATGATCTATCGGAAACAACCTCGGAAGTAAGATTTGCCTACACTCTACCCTCTCGGGACGCTATTTTGTGGGACATTGGGTATTGTTGTTGTTTTTAGATGCTTTATTGGGAGAATTCATTACTCCCTTCGTTGCAAGAATAATTCTGGTTTGAGATAATTTAAAAGGAGAAACGTGGTCATCGAGGATTCATATAGCCAATCTCAGCTTATTTGGGATTCATATAGCCAATCTCAGTTTATTTGGGATTCAGGCGTAGTTATTCTTATACGAATAAGAAGCGTTCAAAGGTTGGAGATTTTAGCAATTTTGGTCAATTTCTTAGGAAAATTTTAGGATTTTTGGGTTTGCAACTATTTAAATGTCTCTCGTAGAGGGCTTTCATGAAACTATCACATAATTTCATTTGTCATTCTCTAATTCAACGACGTTCATGGAGGATTAAACTATTTTCCCATCATAACAATGTGCATCATACTCCCCTAAGGGTGGAGTGGTGGTCGAAGGGTTGGAATGACAACCAAGGGTATCAAGGCTCGGATTCTAGAAGAGAGCGATCAGATGAATTCTTCCCATCTGCCTAAACCTTGGTTCATATAGGGTCATCTATTTGCGGCAAAGCTGAATTGAATTCCAATCCTGAACTAATGAATCAACTATGCCTCAAATCGAAACTTGTTGTGGTCAACTATGTGAACCTTCTATATCGATAGTATCCAACGAAATCACCAGAGTTACAGTGTTTTACGTTGATTTTCATCATAGTATGCATTAAAGCTTACAGAGCTGCTGCTTCCTTATTCCTCCCTGCCCTTCACCACTATATCTTCAAGCACAGCTCCTTTAGTGTGCTTGGCATTACCTTGCTCATATCAAAACAGATCAAGCCTCAAAATCTGTGGATTTTCCGGGCATCAACATTTTATAAGGGAAGTCCTTCCGTTTCCCTTCTAATAAAACCATACTCATCGAACTAATACTGAATTTAGTATTCCTTGTTTTCACCACCTTCAGGTGTCACTTTGTTGCACTTGAACATTCACCAAGTACAATTTTGTCTCACCTTCTTCTTTAGTCTTGCAAAAGCTCCTCTGAAATCCAGATACAATATATGGCACATCTCGAGTTCATCGAGGACAATGACCCTTCATATGAGGGTGTAGAGGTCGAGGATTAGAATTTGTTCCCTCTCCCAGAGTTTAGTATTATTCTTCTCTTTCAGTTATTGATAGATTTGTATCACTACGTGTTGTTTCAATATCTTATTATCTTCTTCTTGTTTTTATTGTGTTACCATTGCATCTTTTTCATTGTTTGCTCAGTCGAGGGTCTTTCGAAAACAGCTTCTCTAGTCGGTGTGGTGTTGTCCTCTTCTTGAGTCTTGCAAAAGTTCCTCTGAACTCCAGATACAGTTTAGTTTTGTATGTTGATTATTAGCAAGTACATGTATGATATTTATTTGAATATTCAAGTTTTTGTTAGCTCTGCTGTTCTGAATCTACAGTTGATGGAGAATTTACAGTGTGCCTCTTTTCACAATTTCCAACAGAATAAAGTGCAGAAAGGAAGGAGGAGTTCGATTCACGATCAATGGTGCTGGAATATTCTTGTCTGTTTTAATCAGTAATGTTGCAGGCACGGGTGATATAGTGGCAGCAAAAGTTAAGGGTTCAAGAACAGGATGGCTCCCTATGGGTAGGATCTGGGGCCAAAACTGGCATATAAGTGCGGACTTGAAGAATCAACCACTAGCTTTCGAGATAACAAGCAGTGATGGAGTCACCTTAACATCTTACAATGTTGCTCCGAAGATCTGGAATTTTGGACAGACTTTTCAAGGTAAGCAGTTCGAATCGTAGGACTCTGCCAGCACTGTATCTGTTCCTGGACCTTATTTGAGGGATTCGTTGAGATTGAGTTGTGCTTGTTTATGATGGGGAACTACCAGATGTAGATTTTGGAGTGCAAAGTTGTAAGATCACTTGAATGTAATAGTAAGTATGTTGTATGTTTCATTGTTTATATATGTATTGTATTGTATTGTGTTTGTTAGCTATATGAAAAATAATGTTGCACGTACAGCCAGTGTCGCTGTAGATAATTTTCAATCCAGCAGATGGATTCCATGTTCAGGCAATAAACGCCTAAAGATCCGAATCAGGAGGGCATAATTTTACACCGAGTATGTTGTTGTAATAGAATTATGGTCCATTTATAAGGGCTGAGAAAGGTAAATCTCTAGATTTTTGTCCTGATTTTCTCCCTAATATAAAGCTTCCTAACAAACTAAAGGACATGTATATTCAAGATAATAACTACCTCCCTACACAAACAACCGACGTTGCTCGGAATTCTTCAAAAATATTGACAGGTGTGTATTGTATCCTCCATAGCTAGTGCATTTTGGAGGATCCGACAAAGGTACAACAACATTTTCAGAGAGTACGAGCAACATAGCAAACAACTATATATCTGAATAAGTTCAAAAATGCAATTAAAGACAAACTTCATTTACAGTCATAGCAAAAATTCCAGTGGTTGGAGAGGGAAGAAGAGACAAATTTCCTCACCTTGCATCATAACAACACAATCAGAAAATCATCTTTTTCTTTCCACTCATCTTGATATAGCTAGAAAGCTATGATGCTCGGACCTTCCAAAAGTGTTGCCACACCAGTGTCAGATCCTCAAAAATGCATTACTTTTGGAGGATCCACCTTGTACCCAACAAAGCTTCAAACATACAAGGAGAGTAAGAAGCTTCCTGGAGACGTTCTAATTCCAATGCAAGACTACAAACTTCAAAGTACAAGCATCAAACATACAAAAGAGTCATATATAAACTCAAGTTAGACCTTACAACTACCAAGAAACACAAAACTGGAGAAGCAGAAAAAGACAAGGTCTATTATGGTATCACATCTAAGTAGCTTCAAGAGAGATAAGGTCAACTTGACATAAAAGCAAGTAGAATACCATATAGAGATGCAATCATTTAATTCGATATAAGGAGTTTCTCCTGCTCTAGAATACAATTCGTGTAAGTATCAGTAATCATACAAATGAACAAGGGGAAAAGAATATGAACTACCATCAAAGAATTCTTGCTATAGAAATATCAGTTGCCAAATGAATACTTGGAAAAAAAATATTCATCGACATTATTGAAGTATGAGCTCTAGCAATTACCAAAGTAATTAGATTGCCCTTTCCTATTGCGGAAGGGTGTCACATCGTTAACCATAATTACTTCATCATAGCTTCTGGTTAGATTCTATCAGCAATCCATTTAACATGATATGTACAGCAGCTTCGTTGACAGCCCCCTGATAATGCATTCCATCGGACGTACAATCAGCTCCACAGTTATTACTCAACGAATGCACGTCCAGCAAAAACAACGGTCCACCAGATTGTTGAAGCAGCTTACTTCTGTAAAGTTCGTCATTATAAGCTTGCCACATTACATCATCCATCTTCTCCCTCTTCTCATCTGTTTTCAACATTGAGCTTATCAACTTAGGCATCCCCAACCAAAACAAGTTGGGTGACCGAACTGGAACCACATTATTCGTCCCAGAACCATCACCGTTAGCAAACGCTGAAGAAACTGGTAACAACAACACTACTGAATCCTTCAAAGACTTTAACGAAACACCATATTCCGACGCATTATTTACGTGTAACATATCCCATAACCCTGCCCCCATCACAAATACATCAGGATAACTCTTTTTTTCTTTAAACCCCATTATCAAATCAGTCAAATTACTCATATAAGGTGCCCATATAAAGTCCAGCTTCATCCCAATCTCATCAACAAATATGTTATAATCACAATGCCTCAAGAAAAGATCCTTCTTTATTATCTCCATCTTACTTTCCCCCAATAACAACTCCAAAAGTGAAACCACCATTAACCTTGCTTGTGAATCCCCAGCAACAACAACCCATGACCCATTTAACAAATCTGAAGCATCATTCTTAGTCAACTTCTGGAAATCACAATCTACAACATTTTCAGACTCAATCCATTTCCAAGAACCCCTTTTACTATTATTACTCAATTCTTGAAAATCAAATGCTACTTGATGAAGTAAAGAAAAACAAGAATCACGATTTACAATAACAGATGATGAAGAATCTGAACTTGAACTTGAACCTGATGAAAGAAAAGATGTAACAGAAGGGAAATATGGAACAAGATGAACACCAACAGCAAGAGTGATGAAAAGGGCACAGCTGAAAAAGAGCATCTTGTTACGGCTCAAATGCCAACCTGCCATACCCATAGGGACAAAAAGTACAACCCCTGCTGCAAAAAGTCCTAATTGGACAGCACCCAACATGATTTCTTGATCTTAAATCACACCCATTAAGGTGTGGAATCTGAAAATTTGAAAATTTTGACTTAGAGATTTCAAGAAATGATGATTTTTTTTTTGGGATCTTCAAAAAATTGATGATTTTTTGGAACTTAAGGGAAAAAGATTCAATCTTTTTGTTTGTTGTTGTTGTGGGGAAGTGTAAAAGGGGTAGTTGAGATTGTGAAGATTATGAATGAAGCAAAATTTGCAAAGAGTTGATGGCTATGGAGCAACTGTGAGAAAGAGAGAAGGAGAACAATGTCGAAATTCTGAATCGGGTCAAGGGATGAACGAAACCTTGTGATTTGGGCCAAATTGGGCCTAAAACATTTCCATGAGTCATTGGGTGTGTTCGGTACGGAGGAAAATATATTTTTTTGGGAAAATAAAACTTATTTTTTTTGTATTGGGTATGTAAGTAAGAGAAGTTGGTTATTGGTGGTTTCAGAAAAAGTAGAGATAAGTTGAAAAAAGTATTGAGGAGAGATAGTTTATGCAAGATATGATGTAACTTTGGCTTACTAAGGAGCGAACCTTTGATAGAAGGTTATAAAAAATATGAATTAAGATAGGAGGTTGGTTAGATAATTGAGTGTTTACTCGCTTATTTGTACTATATATATAGATTTGTAGTATTATTCTTATAGTTTCTTGTTCTTTGAGTTTTGTTATTATATATGGTTTGTTTACACTTTTGATTATTGTTTTGTCTTGTTATGAATATTGTTTAAGATGTTGTGTTAGGATGTGCATATAATATTTTGCTATGATTTTCTTCAAATCTGTTATTTCTTTCTCTATATTGCTTTGGACTGTTTTTTTTTTTTTTTTTGAGATGAGGGTCTATTATGGAAAATAACATATCTACCTCCAAGGTAGTGGTATCTGCTTACACTTTACTTTTCTAAAGCTTTCATTTATAAAATTATAATGAGTATGTTGTTGTTGTTGTTTATTAGAGTACAACAACAATAACATATCAGAGAAATCTCACAAGTGGGGTCTGAGAAGAGTGAAATTTAGGTAGACCTTATCACTACCACATGGAGATAGAGAAATTATTTCCGTAAGACCCTCAATTCAAGTATAACAAATTTGTGTACAAAGAAGAAGGAAATATTGAAAAAATATATAGCAGGTAATAAGAGACGGTGTAAAGTTTACCATAAGACAACAAAACATATGTGATAATTGAAATACAATACACAATATACTAAAATATATAATTAAAAGCAAAAACTACAATACAACACCTAATAATATATTATGGTATCAAAATACAAAGTAAAATATATTATCCTAAAATATTTCTTCATCAAATGTAATTCTATTTCATGCAAGACCTTTACGACATCTAAGAAATGCATGTTGGAAACTCAAAATAAAGTAGATTTTTTCAATCCAGTAACAAAAATGAAATCCACTTATGTTTTGCTACTCTCCTTGACTAAGACTTAGGACACTTGTAATAAAGTTTATCTTTTAAAAAAAAATTGAGAATGCATAAATTTTAAATTTTAGATCTCACTTTATTTTTACTTTAGACTTCAGTCTTTTGTGTGATTTGAGTGTTAATATAATTCAAACTTTGAAATTTATTAATTCTTAAGATCTAAAATTATATATGGTATAAAAAATATATTATTGGTTCTTGAGATCTAAATTATTATATATAAATAATATTACAAGTGTTCAAGGAGATTCTAACCAGCACGGAGGTGGGAAACAAAATTAAGTGAGTTTCATTTCTGCTACTAGATCAAGAGATTACTTATTATTAATTAATTTTGTAAAACAAATTTCTTAAATATTTTTTAAAAAAATTCTCAATACAAATATTAAAATTAGTGAATCTCCAAAAATCCTCACCCAAAACCCAACGTGATACATATGTGGTATAATGTCACCATTAATTGTTTGTTTGAAAGGCACATGCATATCTTAGTAAGTAAATGTAGACCATACACAAAAATCTCTTTTGTACCCCAACTTATCTTCTTTCTAGATTTTTTTTTTTTACAAAAAAAAAAAACCAAAAATAATTTAATTAAAAAACCTTCTTAATTTCTAAGATTAAGTAACTTTTTAAAGTGTGTCAAAGATGACTAAAGAACAAATAATATAAATCGGAGAAAGTAGTTTTTAAGTTTTACATATGAGTTTTGGGTCGAATCGAGTCGGTTCACTTTTTATTATATTTATTTCAATAAAAATTTAAAATATATTAAAAAATTTAGCCATAGAGAGTTGATTTTTCCATCAATAGTAAATTTTGTATTAATAAGGTAAAAGTTTTTACAATTCTTTTGATAGCGAATATAATTGTGTGACTTTAATCTATGATAAATCATAATCATGTGATGGAAAATTAGTTAACCTATGAAGATGGAATCAAAATGAGAATATTAGGATAAAGAATTGTACTTTCTTATATATAATAAAATAAAAATGTGACAATCACGAACTTTTTCGAAAAGAAATAAAGGGGATGTCGATGGCAAAAAAGACCAGCAAAACAATACAAAACCTCATTCCTTGTGGTTAAGATCAGAGCCAAGTAAGACCAAGAGTGTTTGACGAAAAGTTATATCGTAAATTTAATTTTTGTTTATATAATATGTATTGAACTTTTTTAATTTCTTCGTATATTACTTTTTATATTTAAAATTTTTTGAA